CACAGCCACATCAATGTTTTTAGCAGAACAATTCACAATAGCTAAACTGTGGAACCAACCTGAGTGCCATTCAGTAGATGAATGGATAAAGAAAATGGGGTATATATACACAATGGAATATTACTCAGCAATAAAAGAGAATAAAATCATGGCATTTGCAGGTAAATGGATGGAGTTGGAGAATATAATTCTAAGTGAAGTTAGCCAATCCCAAAAAACCAAATGCCAGATGTTTTCTCTGATACAAGGAGGCTGATTCACAGTGGGGTTGGTCAGGGGGAGCAAGGGAGGATTAGATGAACTCTAGATAGAGCAAAGGGGAGGAAGGGGAAGGGAGGGAGTATGGGGATAGAAAGACGATGGAATGAGATGGACATCATTACCTTAAGTACATGCATGAAGACACTAATGGTGTGACTCTACTTTGGGTTCAAACAGAGAGATGACAAATTGTGCTCTATATGTATAACATGAATTGTAATGCATTCTGCTGTCATATATAACAAATTAGAATAAAATAATAATAAAAAAAGATTGCCCATGCCTTTTTACAATCCCTAGCCCTATCTTGGGCCCTTGCAGTTGCCAAACGAGTTTCTGTAAATACAATCTTACCTCTTTTAGAATCTCACACAAATGAAATAATGCAATACCGAGACTATTGTGTTTGGCTGACCTCACACAGAATAAAGGCTTTGAAGTCCATCCTGTTTGCAGTGTGCATTCACAGTTAGCCATTTTGATTACTAATAGTATTCCATTGTACAGATACACATCTTGTTTACCCATAAACATCTGGATGTTTCCAGTTTGGTGTTACTATGAACAAAGGGGCTCTGAAGATTCAAGTAAAAGTCTTGGTGTGAACACCTACGTTTCTGCTTCTTCTGAGAAAATTCCTAGAAATGAGATTATTTAGTCATGCGGTGGGTGTTGTTGACACTTCTAAGAAGCCAAAACATCTTCTAAAGAAGCCATCTCACCTTCCATTCCTGTCTTGTCAACTGCTGAGACTACTGGTCTTTTCAGTTCTAGTCATTCTAGTACATGAGGAAAAGAATCTGCATAGTTTTAATTAGCATTTCTCTAGAGACCAATGATGTCAAGGATATTTTCATGTACTTATTTGACATTTGTGTGTATTCTTTGGTGAAATGACTATTCAAGTCTTCTCCAATATTGGATGGAGTTATCCTTTTTTATTGAGTCATACGAATTCTTTATATACAAGTAATTCTATCAACTATTTGTTTTGTGCTTTTTTTCACTTGCCTATACCTTAACTTCTCATGCTCTGATAATTCCATGAGGGGAACAAGTTAATAATTTTGACAGAGTCCAATTTATCACTTATTTATCTTATGGTCCATCATTTTTGTGTGCATTCTAAAATGTCTTGGCCTAACCAAAGATCAAAACATTTTTTTTTCTCTTAATTTTCCTAAAAGTTGATTTTCATCAGATTTGACTCTTGGGTCTCTGATATATTCCACTTTAGTTTTTATGTTTGAAATGAGGCCAGGATTGAGGCTCCTGTTTCTCATGTGAGGAACCAGTTGTCCCAGCCCCATTTGCTGAGAAGATGGTCTCCCACCCTGAATTGTCTCCTTACAAAGCTGGTCAGGTCCTCCATTTAAAGTGACCATACAGCTGCAGCTGAAATGGGAGGTGGAGAGGTGAGGACTTTGAATTAATGATAGAATTGAAATACATAAACTATGGACTATTACCCTGCAGCCATTTTAAATGGTGACAAAGTTCTAAATTTATTGATGACAGAAAGAATGTTAAGTGATAAATACCCTATCACAAGACAGAATATATGGGGGGTTTTATGTTTCTCAATAGAGGAGGAGACAGAATAAGACACATAGATACAGACCAAAGATCTACTCCAAGAAGTTTATCATGATCATCTCTAGGTGATAAATTAAAGGTGATCTCTGTCTTTTGTAAAATTCTGAAGTTTTTCAATATGCCTAAGAGAGATTTTCATAATAAAGCTATTTCTGTTTTGAAAAATTGCTGTGGGTGGAAAGAAACGGAAATGAGAGTGAGCAGTGAGTTATTATTCAAGCTTTGCAGAGCTAATTCATTCCATTTACTACTATGAAGTTTTAATAGTAAAACTATTAACACCACATAAATAGCACAAAGAGATCCTAATATAGTTCCAAACAAAGTACCTGTTACCTGTAAAATACATTCCGACATCTGCAATTCTTGTGTCTAAGAATGCTGAGGTTGAATGAATGGCAGCGAGAAGTCCTGGGAAACTTATAATTATATAAATTACTAATCAAGTTATTTCAAATTAATTTTCATTCAGATTCAGTTGTTTATGGCCATAAGGCAATTCCAAGCCACTTTCTAAAGAATCTTGTGTTGACTCCTAATTACCTATAATTTAATTTTCTGCTTTGCATATTATCTGCAATGGCTTGGGAATTATTACCCTCAGTCATCCCAGGCATCTCCAGCTGAGTGGAATCATGTAGCCCAATGCCTATCAAGAATAGAGCTTAAAACTGAGTCAAAGAAAAGAACAAGATAAAGGAATCAAGGATAGATTAACATAGAGAGAAGAAGCCTAAGGGATTTCTAAAATACTGCCTTCCAATTTTGAGTAGTAAAGTTATTAACCAGTTGGACAAGAAACAGAAGGGAGCAAATAAACTAAGTTAGAATTAGAAGGATTTCACTCTGGCCATAGGGTGTGTTTTCTTAATGATGTTCTTTCATTCATTTACCAAACATTCATGGAGCCTGAATGCTGGCTGGAGCACTGTCCGAGGTGCTGAAGTGATACAGTGGTAGCCAGTCAGGGTCTCAAGTCCTTAGGGGTTGCCATGTGACGCAGCTGGATTTCAAGGTTATATAACGCTGGAAAAGGTCACCAAAACCGATTAAGGAGTCTCCTTGCAATATCAGGCTTGATAACATTTGTTGCCCTTGAATTATTAGACATCTCTCTGCTGAAAAGAGGAACCAAACAATGTGTCCCTTCAGGTCACTCCTAGCCTTAGGGAGCCTTTATTTTTCGGGTCTTTATGCGTGTGCTGACGTTTACATTTCTGTATCAAGACTGGCTTTTAAGCTACCATTTTTGAACATTTATTCTGTGCCAGTCCCTGGGATAAACACCTTACAAATATTATCTATTCTACCTAATTCTTACTATTACCGGACCATAGACCTGTAGGTATTCTACAGGTAGGAAAAGTGAGGCAAAAATTGCTGAGGCTGGCTTCAAATCTTCAATCCGCCTCCCTTGGCCTCCTCAATGACTGGGATTATAGGTTATGTGCCACCACACCTGGCTTTCTTAAAGGCTCGTTATACATCTTGCAGAATTAGTCCCTGAAAATTTAAATCAGTTTAAATTCTCTTCAGCAAAGTATAAAAATGTTTGGTAATAATTTCAGCTGAACATATTCAGATTTTTCAAAAGTCATTTTACAAGTAAAAAATTACATTAGTGTTTTGGCTGTATTCTTTTACCCATTAATGTGGCTGATTTTTTTTTCATAATTTGTTTGTTTGGCACTGAGAATTAAACCCAGAAGTGCTTAAGCACTGAGCCACATCCCCAGTCCTTTTTATTTTAAAATCTGAGACAGGGTCTCATTAAGCTGCTCGGGGCCTCACTAAGTCACTGAAGCTGGTCTCAAACTGGTAATCCTGTGTTAGCCTCTCTAGTCATTGGGATTACAGGCGTGCACCACCACTTTTAACTAATGTGCCTTCTTTCCTTTGTTATTTTTTCTATTGGTTATTAATTCTCTTATAAGACTTCTTTATTGGTTAATAGAATAAACAGTTACATAGATATTATTATTAATTTTTCAGATACCTTTCAATGTAAGATGCTTTGATGTCTACATAGGCCAATATATCAGTCTATGTATATGTATATTTCCTCTGCATTATCTCTCACTGACTTATAGTTAGTCTTTTGCCATTCTGCCACAAAAAGGTCATCTGTATTTTCTTTGTTTTCTTATTTTAAATATTTTATATTACCATTTAAATTTATCTC